TAACCTCCTGTTCAAAATCACATTTTGAGGGCTTAAGGGAATTCTCCTGTTGGTACACAAAGGGGCCATCTGTATGGCTTCTGTGAAATTCAGTGCTGTACTTAGGACTATCAATGTCTTATTCAAAGATTTTTGTTAAGATTGATGTAAATTCCTTTCCCAACAACAGTCATGCTTTTACAGTATGTTTTTTCAGTATGCATGTATGTGTTTGGTGTATATATATTTTTATCCCTGTTATCAGTGGATAACCATTGCTAATAAATACAAACAAGTAGTTTACATATCTTCTACAGTGCTAACTTGCATTTTTTTAGGCACTATGTGCACATATGTTTTATCTGTCTAGAAATAATGTGCAGTAAAATGAATTTAAAAATCTGCCTTGAAATGTTGATTTGCAGTTTTTAACTACAGTAGTGTAAATCCTTTTATCTGTTGCTATAGTTTGCAAGATCTCTTTTCTGGTCCACATTGGCTGCAAGTGCAATATGGTAAAATCTAGTAACTAATAGACTTCCTGTATTTTCTTCTCCAATTTTAATTAACTTAGTCACAACCACTTGCCTTCTTGGAGGAAGACATTAGGGAAGTTTTGAAAGAGGAAACTGGAACAGATATATTTCTCAAGGAGGAAGATGACACTGTGTATAAAAGCTGCAAGCAGGAGGTAACATTACAATAATAGTTTCAAATAAGAAGTAACTGATTTTAAATAGTATTTTACATTTTTTCTCTGCAAAATGTTTATTGCAGCACAACTCTTCTAAAAAAGTCAGAAAATCACTGGTCCTAGATCCATGGGAAGAGGATGATGTTGGCACCCAGCTCTTCACAGAAGATAATAGTTTAGATGTACAGGTATGTATTCAACAACTAAAGAGCATCACTGGCAGCAATATTAATATAGAACTGAGTATCTTTCATTCTATCAACCAAAAAGTGTTTGGACTGAAGCTAGATCCATAAATCTAGAAGATTAAAGTTGCCTTCAGTTTGAAACACTGCCTGAAGTAGTTAAGTAATAGTTGGACATTGCTCTTGAATTCCTGCATGAATTCTTCCTTTCAGGCCTTCCGAGCAGGACTGGTGAAGTCATGTGGATGCTTTGCAGGCCTGTGGTTAGAGCAAAGCTGCCTCCATCCTGGTTCCCTATTGGCTTTAGCATGTAGGGCATGCTGCAGCTCTGTCATACACCAGGAAGGTGATATTTGCCCCTGTTCTGCACACTTGACAGCCTGGCAGACATGTTCTGAAGATACCTAGTTGCATATTAGGCAGCACGCTTTTCCTTTTCCTGCTTCACACAGTAGGGGTGTACTTTATGAAATATCAAACACATAGAAGATGAGGTTTGTGGCCTTCCTCTGGCTGAAGGAATTTCAATACTCCTGCCCCAACAACCACAACATGAAAAGTTCAGGGATGGGGCTGTTTGGTCCCTCATTCCTTTAAAAAATAGACCAATATTTTTTTCAGTGGAGTGATTGAATAGATTAATCCTTAGTCTTGTAGTTTTCCTGAAAACTTGGGTATAATCTAGTTCTTAAATTAATATATGTATGTGTTTAATTCTGAGTCAACGTCTGTGACTCTTGATTGGGTATAAAGCTGTATTCAAGAGGCAGGAGCCAAAGTCCCTAGGCAGAGCAGGTGCCTGAGTCATACCCCTTTCTGCTGATGGTAGCTGGTTTTCTAAATTCCCTCCTGAAATGCTTGCCTTGGTGCCTGTCTGCTGGGTGTTAGGTGCTCCCCCAGAACATCTCTCTTGTGGGGAGCAGAACTGCTGCAGCCATTCCAAACAGGAAGAAGTGCCTGTTCTTCTCTTAGTAATGCCTTGTGGTGGTGTGGCACGTTGTGCCTCCCTCATGTGCAGGTTGTGAGGCTGAGCCCACCATACACTGTGCTGCTGGGATGTGTTAAAGGCAGCGGACTGGGAAAAAAGCTTTCCCTCTGTTTTAATGAGGATACAAGAAGGGTTGTGCCAGAAGTGAATTGAAAGCTTTTTTTCTTTAAAACTGATCCCTACCCTCTTTTTATGCCGACAGTCAGAGAATGCATATACCACATCTTTATTAATGAAGCCATTGTTGGAAATACATGACAACAGATGTAACCTGACATCAGAAAACCAGGATACAAGTCCAGCAAACAAAACAGATGCAGTAATTACGAAGAAACCGAATGCATGTACTTCAAAAAATGTCAAAATGCAGAAAGCCCTTCAGGTCTGGATGCAAAATATTCTGTTAGTTTTGTTAGCAGGTTAACTTGTTTGTTTGTTACTGTCTTGTACTAGTATCTAGAATTGTTCCATTCAATTATCTAGTTTTGGGTAGTGTTTCCATGATCATTATCTCTTTTAAGTTGGTCATTTATCCACAAAGTGTTTATTCATTGTGAAGCTCTTCAAATACAATCCCAATGTTTCACTGAATGGCCTCTAAGATTTAAACATGGGGTGGCAGAAAATACGACAGGTAAACCTTCAAAACAGGTTTGGGTACCTAAGTCTTGCAGTAAGAAAACTTGACTTGGTGCAAACTAAACCTCTATAGGATCAAAGTTTCTCAAATTTGGCAGGTACTTACTTCATAATAAACTCAGTGGGATTCGTTAGGCAGAGTTCATCCACAGGTTCTGTTTGGTAATTGTTCTTATAATGTGCCTGTTCTTGTCCATCCATATATATTTCCATACCCTTAGAACTGGAACCTGGTTTTTCCTTGTGTATGGCTTAACCATCAGGTTTAGGGAGAGATTCTCTTTGACCTGACTTGGTGCCTGTTCCAATTTGTGCCATAGGGAGTCAGTAGATAAAGTTCTTGTGTTTTCTCAGAATATTTATAGCTCTGTATTAATTAAAAAAAAAAAAAAGGCAGGGCATCTGGAACCTGCTCTTCCATGTCCCACTTAACTGCTGTAACAATGTGTTCTTAAGTACAGAAACAACAGTATGGCTTTCTGATCCTTTCTGATGAGAAGAGAGAACAAACCTCATTTAATTGTGATATTCCAAAAAAAAAAAAAAAAAATTAACTCCCATGAATGGCAGCAAAGGTGAATACATCTATCTGGCCCAGTACTATGCTCTAAAGAATACTTGAAAAAGGAGTTTAGTCATACTATACTCACAAATATTCCCACTGAATCATCTTTTGCTCGTTGTTCTTTCCCCTGAGAAATTCCCTCTCAGTTTGGTGCCCACTCTAACCACGAGTTCCTTCCATGAATGGAGTTTTGCTAAATTTACAGAGAAACTCAAATGGCTAATTTTTGCTGTGCATCTATATGTGAAACTGATGCTTTGGATCAGTTTCTAGCTCGGTGTGGGAGGGAGAGAATCTTGTGTTCTTGATTAGGCTACAATCTGCTGGTGTCAGGTCCAATTTAGAGCTGTCGCAAATAGGCTTGAGATTGCACAAATCGTATACACACAGGGTGTGCTTCATGGATGAGGCAGGACTAGTGTCTCTGTTCTTCCTCCATTCATTATTTTTATTCCTAATTCCTTTGCCATTTCTCATGTGTTCCCCGAACATATGAGTGTTCTTCCACGGCTGCCACTTTGGTTCAGTGGAGTCCTTCACAGCTTTCTTTTTCAGCCAAATGGTTTTGCCTTCCTTGGTGTCTCCAGACAAGCTGTCAGCAGTGCATTTCTCTGCCTGTTGAATTTTGCACATTTAAAGGGGAGAGAATATGACTTAATTAACTTCTCTTTTATGTATCAGCTGTTGAACTTGTCTCTTCTTAAGAGGGTTTTCATTTTGTTAGAACTTAAGCGTAGCACAGGTGCTCTGCTGAGGGGCTGGAGTGAGGAGTGGAGAGGGAGCTTTGTCACGGGTTCTAGGTATTGTAGAACTGAATCCTCAGTCAAAGACAGCATTGCTAGGTTGTGACTCGTTGTTACGCTGGGAGGCTGTAGGAGAGTAGCTGGAGTATTTTAGTTGGGTAGAAGAATCGTTAAACCCAATTCTATTTTACGCAGTCAAATTGCGAATGGGAAGCGGTGGTTTATGGGAAAACAGAAGACCAGCTGATCATGACTGAACAAGCGAGAAGGTACCTGAGCACATACACAGCTACCAACAGCACGTCGAGGGCTCTGATACTGTGATGGTCCTGCAGCTGCCAGCCACCTCCTCCCAGTGGGACTGACAGGGCGTTGAAGGCGATTCCAGCACGACGCTTGGGAACTGAGTCTTGGAGAGGCTTTGCCAAGGGAAACCTTCAAGCTGCCTTAAAGCTTCCACGCTTCCTTTGTCTGAGAGAGCAGACACAAAGCTCTCGTGTGCTCTACAAAGGGATAGTACAAACAGCTCTGCAATGACTGGCTTAAATATTAAAAAAACAACACCCTAAAATATGATAAAGAAATAAGTTGCAGTGCTGACAACACAGTTTTTAGGTCTTTTTTTCATATTTATTCCTTTGACTCACGTCGCTTCTTTTCTGTTAGTGCATTTTCAGTGTAGAGTAGGGCTGTAGGTCGTTACTGGTTTCTGAACGAGCAACGTACGTGACTGAATGTGCTTTTGCCTGTGTAGCATTTTTCTAGTATATAAAGAAACACAATGGAAAGGAGCATACAGGAAGGATAGAATGTTGCACTACTAATTTTTTTGGTATGCTGCAAAACAATGAAATTAACTACAGTGTTAAATATTTATTTGCAAATGGTACTAGAAGTAGGCACAGGGGGGTGAATTAGGTTTTAGTGTAAAGCATCAGTATTTTCTTCATAAATCTCAAAAGGAGATGATTGTTGAATGTATTGTACAGTATGTAGGAACAGGGAAAATTTTGTAAATTGGAAAGGAGTCTGTTTTTATAATTTATTTTCATTTTAAAGCTTAAATGTAGATATTTATATGTATGCCGGTTGTCTAGAAGCCAATGTTGTTTCCTGTTAAAACAGCTAAAATGGAAAAAAAGGACAAGCTTAAAATATGGAATACCAAAATAATTACAGTGGTGAAATGTCCAAATCTATACTGTGTTACATCTGCATAAAAATTGCACTATAACTCCTAAATCATGTTGGTCTACATAATAATTACAAGGTACACCTGTATTATACAGCAACCATTCCTGTACCTTGTTTAAATATTTTTAGAAAGGAATGGTGGGGTCCTATGTGTGACCCAGGAGTACTTTGTCCTGCATAGGAACTAAAAACTAATGCATTTTAATTTAATTTTATTTTAAAAAGAAACTTGGCACCTTGGGTATCAAAACAATTGTATCTGCACTTAAGTTTGACAGTTATATACTTACTAAATGTTTGAAAAGCAAAGAGAACATTATTTTATTTATGAAAAGTCTTTGTCCTTATTTAAAGGCATACAGGTCACAACAGTTGCTTTAGTTGCCTATTTTAGGTATTTGCACTTATTTTATGTCTTGTTGTTTTGTTTTGAAGGAATGTTTTGGTTTGCTCTTGTGTAGAGGTTTTTATGTAGTTAATTTCGAGCGAGCTACCTTGGTGTGCTAGCAGCAAATACTGACAGGTGAACAGAACTGTACACTGTAGGTTTAGGTATTTATAACTGAGACACTCTTCCTCTCCACTCCCGGGTTGCTGCTGCGGCCGGCCGGCGGCAGGGTCGGCTTGCTGCTAGGAGAGACGGGAAGAGCGAGCATCGTATGCACTGTATGTAAAATGGCAAAAAAGCACCACTGGTGTGGGGTTCTCTAGTTAACTTTGAGATCAACCAGTACTATGCAGGGTCTGAAAAGTATTCCTATCAGTTCAATATCAAAGAAGGTAGAGAATAATTTATTAATGGAGAATTTTAACGTGATGAGTGGCGCAAGGAAGGTAATGGGTTATTAAACTTTTCTAAACATCTCAAAGCTTATACAATCCTTATTTTTAGCAGCTTTTTGATATTGAATATTTGCCTGGCTATAATAGTAGTAGGCATAAAGAGTTTTAGCCGTTTTTAATTCACATGAAAATTGGAAGTGGGGGTGGGGGGTATCCTGTATAAGCAAGGGGTCAGAAAATAGCCATCTTGCCAGGGTGACACCTCCCTGTTGAAACTGAGAGGCAGCAATTTGGAATTCTGGGCAGTACTAGATTTAGGTGAGCATTACCAGAATGGATTTAACAGCAATGTCTAACCCTGGAGACAGCATTTAAGTCACTAAAAAAAATGAAATGAGATATTGAGAGAGAAAGAATATCTAGAATCTGGATGGTACGTTTCAGTAGAAGTGGTATCACCAAAACTGCCTATACGAAGTTTAAGCATAGATTTCTGGTAAGTAGTATTAATTTGTGTTGGTATTGGTTGGATCGTTGAGTTAACTCCTTCTTTGTTGCTTTAGCAGGAAGGATTTTATTTTTCATATGTCAGGCATATTTTCTTACTTTTTGAATGTTGTGTGCATTTGCATTTCTTTCAGTTTATAAGTAGATTGTACATGCAGCAGCCAAACTTGCATGACACCTGAATACATATTACTCCATAGTTTGTTTTAAGGTTTGACATAACGTGCAACAAACACCTTGTTTATCTTAGTTTTTGTTGTACTACAAACTTTTCTTTTATGTAAGAGAATCTCAAGTACAATACAGATCATATTAATGTCAAAAATAAAGCATTTATATACCAGGTTACTGTAAGTGCCTTTTATTTGAGAATTTAAACACTTGGTGCTTGTTAAAGCAATATGTATGTGTGCCTATGAAACTGCAAGAAAATGCCTTTTCTAGCCTCCTCTGGGTAGAGACAAAGTAATCCTGCAATCAGTGGGTCACCCAGCAGGATGGGGCCTGCCTGTGTTTGGTTAACAGTTTGTATTTGTGTCTCAAAGCTTTAACACAAATATTTGTGTATAGGAGACAATTTGAAGAACATTGCTAGTGTAAAGCTTTTTTACATCTGCTGTATGGTGGAAGTGATATTTTAGTATCTGTGCCTGGGTCTCAGGAGGCAAATGCTAAGTGTAAGCTGTACAGTGAGAGGGTTTTAATTATTTTTATTTTTTTCCCCCTAATTAGGACTCATATATTAATCTGAATTAGTGTTAGTTTGACTCTCTTATTTGCTATAAACATCGGCATTCAACAGTTACTGTTGATTGCCTCTTCCAGCTTTGTGACAAATATAAAAGGCAAACAATCTGTTGAAGGAAGAGGACAAGAGGATACTAATGCAAGCCAGTTCTTCAGAAATACGTCCCAGTAGTGTATATTACCCAGCTTGGAGCTGTAGAGGCAAACTGTGACTGTTACTGGGGCTTTTCTGGGGTTCTGGCTGTTATTTATATTTATTAAATGTATATACAGTGTGTATATATATACATTTTATAGACACATACATATATAATATATGAGAATATCCTGCAGACCTGCTTGTGTTGGCACACGTGACATTCTCAATCGCTTGGGGAAAGCGAGGTGGGCTCCCTGTAGAGCGTTTGTTTTTGTTGATCCTGATATCAGGAATTGGGGCAAAGTGTTGGGAGATTGAAGTCTGCAGTGATGTCACTTGTTCATTTTACTAGGTCAGCTCTGCTCAGTGAAAGTAGAACAGATGGACACCAGCCAGTAAGGTAAACCTGGGAGGAACTACAACCCTGAGTTGGACTATGTGAAGACTCTGAAATCTTTACTCATGGGGATGGCTTTTACTTGGAATAAACATTCTTTAAGGAATTCTTTGGTGAAAGTAAGCCCAGGACATAGCTTTGGTCAGGTGGCTCAGAAGGGGTTCTGAGCAACTTGCTCCAGTTGCAGATGTCCCTGCTGACTGCAGGGGGTTAGACTAGATGAGCTTTAAAGGTCCACCCAGTCTGTGATTCTGTGATTATTAGTTGCACCAAACTAAAACTGATGCAACGTTGAGTGCATCAAGCTTCACGAAATAAGGAATTTAACACTGGTTATTAACTGGCCATGGTTGCACCATACCTGTGACTAAGGCCTAACATGATGCAAACAACAAAAATTCTGAAACTGGAATTGATTCTCTCATTTGGTTTTGTGATATTCAGATAAAGTTTCAGTACGTAGGCAGAAAATACACTGATGTTTTCTAATGCTAGACTTCATGTAATTATTCTTTTCCACATTTCCTTGACCTTGGCTAAGCTGAAGCTTTACTGGCTTAAATGCTTACTTTGATAAGGAAGCTGTGAATTACTGTTTCTGTGCCAAAAGACTGGTCCCTCATGAAGCTGCAGCACTGGTCTGCGTGGCCTCCCCTGGAGACAGACAGCTTATCCCTGGAGCGGCTTGGATTCCTGCCCTGCAGCTGAAGGGAACAACAGCATCCTTGTAGCTCTGCCAGCATGCTGTGTTGGAAGAACAGGTAAGCCTTGAACTTTTATATGTAAGCTTGCATTTTTGTGTAAAGTAAAAACCCAAATGCTCATACCCACTGTATTCTACCATAACAATGATGGAGAAACCTCAGTGGTGCAGCTTTTGTTTGCATCTGGAGTAAGATGTGCAATGTGGCGTTCCTCAGTATCGACTTTGCAGTATTATCTACCTGCAATTAACTTACAGAAATTTGAGGGTTTTCTTTGGGTGTATTTTTTGGAAAGTCCTCTGGATTTTTCACTTCCAATTTCATGTGTCATCATGCCCTCTGATTACAGAGAAGATGACTGTTAATGGCCTTAGCAGGAGCAAGGTGTGAATGGGCCGTGTATGGCCTGGCAGTGACATGCTTCTGCAGCTGGACTGTGTCCTGGCTTTGGTTGGAGCTGAGGAACATTTTCATCCCCCAAAGGGTTGCTCAGGGTGGTGGTGGAGTCCCCATCCCTGCAGGGGTTTCCAGGCCTGGCAGATTTGGTGCTGAGGGACGTGGTTTAGTGGTGCCTCGGCAGTGCTGGGGTAACAGTTGGAATCCATGGTCTTAAAAGTCGCTTCCAAACAAAATGATTCTGTTCTATAGTCTGAGGGGAAAGGGTGCTGTTGTCTTCTGGGGAAGGGAGAATTCTGCTTACTCAGCATTTACTTCCTTGCTAACCATTGGCCAGATGCCTGATCTTAGTTCCTGCTTGAACATTGATGTTTGGTGGTTGTGCCAACCCACAGTGCCCTAGACTGTGTCGTGTGCTCTGCTTTAAAATGGTCTGGGCCACAGGTTAAAATACTTGTGCAGGTTTTTGAGGGTGTCATGTCCTTGCAACAGGAGGCATTCACAGAATCACAGAACGTTAGGGGTTGGAAGGGACCTCCAGAGATCATTGAGTCCAACCCCAATTAAATTAAGAGAAGTTTTAAAAGAAACAAGCACTAATAGAACAAACCCATAGAGCAGGCAAAGGAAACCTGGAGAAAGCTGCTCGTTTGAAGACCATGCTCATGAGCAGGGATAGGGAGTGCCTCGAACATCTCGGCAGGAGCTCTATGAACAAAACGAGCAGTGCTTGTTTGTTAGATGGGAAGAGAGCTTGGAGAAGCGCCGGGCTTT